GATGCTTGAGATTGGCAAAAGAGACTTCATTGGGAAGGCCCGCCTAGAAATGGATCTCTTTGAAGCAAATAGGAGTTTCATCGGCATTGATCTGGCTCGATTTGATGCGACGAGATGCCAAGGGTAAGTTATGCATTCTTCCTCTACTCAATATCTTGGCTAGAATGTACTGGATACTAATTGGCCATCTTCTCCTCGCAGGTTGTTACAGCGAACGGTAAAAATGCTTACAACAGGGTCAATCAGACCTATAGAGCCCATCAAAGTCTTCGATGCGACTGAGGTCGAGGCGAGTTTTCGGTATATGCAGAAAGGTACGCACCTTGGCAAGGTTGTGGTGTCAATTCCAGAGAAAGGCATGGGCCTACCGAAGACACCACAGACACCGCACGTTGAGCTCAGTCCATCGGCTACCTACATGCTCGTAGGCGGACTGGGTGGTTTGGGACGCGCTGTTGCAACGTGGATGGTAGAAAGAGGGGCACGTCACCTTATGTTCCTTTCGCGTTCTGCTGGTCAAAGTACCAACGACCAAGCTTTTTTCCAGGAGTTGCAATGTCAAGGCTGCACAGCACAGGCTGTCCAAGGCGACGTAACAGATATAGCCGATGTTGAGCGCGCAATGGCGTCTGCGCTTCTAGGAAAGCCCATTCGGGGCATTCTACAAATGTCCATGGTACTTCGCGACAAGGCCTTTGCGGATATGGATCTGGAGGACTGGCAAACAACGGTCAAGGCCAAAGTAGAGGGCACGTGGAATCTTCACCGCGCCGCACCACAAGACCTCGATTTTTTCTTCGCTACTGGATCTATCAGCGGCTCATTCGGTATGCCTGGCCAAGCAAATTATGCTGCCGGTAACACATACCTTACTGCATTCACTCAGCATCGTCAAGCGCTCGGTCTGCCCGCTTCAGTACTTCATGTTGGTCTGATGGAGGACATTGGTTATCTCGCTCAAAATCCGACAAGGGCTGAAGCACTCAGGGCCGCTGGTGGATTCTTTCTGCGTACCCGCCAATTGCTAGAAGGAATCAACTGGGCTCTGACTCCGAGTGCGGGCAAGCCAGATCACTTGAACCATCAGCTCACCATTGGCTTGCGATGTGAGAAGCTATTGCTGGACCCCGCTAACCGTGTTATCTGGAAAAAGGACTCTCGCATGGGCCTATATCACAATCACAACGCGTCAAGTGGCACGGGCGGTGGTGCAGAGGACAGCGATACTGACGCCCTTCGTCTCTTCATGGCTTCAGCTGATGCGGGACCGAGTATCCTTGATGAGCAGGCTTCGCTAGACTTTGTGACGCGCGTCATCGGCACCCGCGTTTATACTTTTATGCTTCACCCGCTCGAGGACATGGACTTGACTGCATCGCTGACATCCTTGGGCGTGGACTCGTTGGTCACCATAGAGCTGCGTAACTGGATCAAGCGCAGTTTTGGTGGTCTAGAGTTCAGTACCTTAGAGATCCTCGACGCTCGTACTATCGACGGCTTGGGTAGGCTCACAATAGACGCACTGAAGACACGATTTGGGGAGGCAGGGGTGAACCAGGAAGGCGATGCGTATCTAGATATGAAGGCCCCATAGACTCGAACCTAGGTTCTGATGCGACACAACATGTCGAATCCATTCGGCAAGCTTCATGATTATGGGAAATTGTACAGCCAACATCACCTGAACTCTTCGCAACTTCATATTTCCGTTTCCAAAGACAGGGCTGCACTATAGAAGCGTGGTCCTGAAACTGTCTTTTCGTACATATACAGTATTCTGATGAGAGCGAAATGTATTAAGTAAGTTGTAGTTAATTATCCTCTTCAGAAGTAATATTCTATCGCGCAATTGAATACATGCAAGAGACTACATTAAGAGTTGATTAGTCACTATCTGGCCGTCTTGTCTACTTGTGCAGAGGCTTGCGGACACTATATCACGGTCCATATATTCGTAGTATTGGTGCAATCAAAATCACGCTTTCATTACTATGCGAATGGTTTGTGATGCATCGACATTGCTATGGTAATGTGCTGTCGTGTGTAAATTGTGTCTACGAATCGGTAGCTGAATGCTGTTTGCAATAATGTGGTGGCTATGACACGGGACCCTCTAAAAGGGCATGGAAGCACATTTCGGGTGAGGAACTATCGTAAAGGTTGGAACCTCGGCTGCTCTGATCCAACGAATACGTACTAGAGGCCGGATGCCTAATCGGGATACCGTCACACACACGAACAACGGGAAGCTTTCACAAGTTACATGGTATTTCAACTTTCCTCAAACCATTCGCTCATTTAGCGCTTCTCCAACGGTAACTACCAAGTTCCAGATCCGAGCGCAAGGCAAGACGAGGGCGTGAAGCGAGAAGGAGAGGACCGATTAAGTCGCTTAGTGAGCAACTCGTTTAGCACCTGACCAGGCAGCAAAATCACTGCGCGCATCTTACCACGGCTACTGTACAAGAATATCATTGATGACGAGAACTAACCAGTCACCCTTACAAGGCATTACCCGTTGAATTACTCTAATGGGAGACAGCCCTTTCTTCAAACCCTGTTAAGTGTAGCTGTACTGTTTCCTTAGAGGGTAACCGGTAGCCGTGAAATCCGTCGCCATACCGCATACGTACACCCGCACAGGCTCACAGACCATCCCTCACTTCCATGTTTTCGGGCTATCGTTCTAGGCCTAGTTGTCGCGGGCCTACCATGGTCCTTGTTGCTTGTTACCATATCTTAGTTCTCTATTGAAATTGAAACCCTTTGGAACTTGTATTGCTATATGTTGGAAACAGAACTCAGCTTAATCCACTAGCTCCCATTCCCAAATACACCTCTGGACGGAAAGTGTTGAAGTAGTTTGTTATCCAAAAAAAAATCAAACTTTGGGCGACATAATGGCTGGCAAATGCCCCAGAGACCTCGCGCCAATACCTGGCCCGAAACGTAAGGTGTTCTCGCTTGTAACTTTACAAACTTTTGCACGTGATAACAGTAGGATACAGCGATTCCGTTTCTAGGGAACATACTCGACATTGATCCTGACAACTTCACAAAGTCATTAGGTGAAATGGGCAAAACATACGGCAAGCGGCACTTTGTTCATCCATGTCAAGTGAACGGCGACAATCGCTAACTCTTGACAGGCGATGTGTATATGATTAATTATGGTTCGTACAGAGATGTCATAGTTGTTAGTCGCAGAGTGGCTGAAGAGCTCTGTGATGAAACGCGATTCTGCAAATTACCAGGAGGTGCAATTGATAGGATGAGGCGAGTGGTCGGACATGGTCTCTTCACTGCGGAAACTGCAGATCCCAGATACCAAAAAGCACACCGTGTCATCGCGCCACTCTTTGGTGCCGCGAGGATAAGAGCTATGGTGGATGATATGAGAGATATTTGTGAGCAGATGTGTCTACGCTGGGCCCGTTTTGGACAGGACGTACCCATCGAGATCTGTGACGAGATGACGAAGTTGACTTTGGACACGATTGCCCTCTGCACTGTTGACTATCGCTTCAATAGCTTCTATAGACCTGCAGGAGTCGAGGATCCTTTCGCAGAAGCTGTTGTAGACACCATGACAGAATCTCTGCTGCAAAGTAACCTACCTGACTGGATCAACAACTGGGTCCGGTTCCGTTCTATGAACAAATTCAACCGCCAAGCAGACCAGTTACGCCACGACATTGAGAAGCTCATCGAGGTGAGGCTCAAAAATCCAGTCGATCGGAATGATCTTCTGAATGCACTGCTGAGCCATGAGGATCCTAATACTGGCCAACGTCTGGACGATGAATCAGTTGTGGACAACCTGCTCACCTTCTTCATCGCAGGCCACGAAACGACGTCCAGTCTGCTATCCTTTTGTTTCTATTACCTTCTCCAACATCCAGAAGTTCTCCAGAAAGCCAGAGACGAAGTGGATGCCGTCATTGGGAGCAGTACTGTGATGCCTGAACATCTACAAAAACTACCGTATCTTGAGAGTATCTTACGCGAGACGCTTCGTCTACGAGATCCTGGCCCCGGGTTCTTCGTTAAGCCGCTTCAAGACGAAGTAATAGCTGGAAAGTACCTAGTCCCAAAGGACCAGTCCATCTTCATTGTCTTTGACTCGGTACACCGCGATCCCGACGTGTATGGCGATGATGCAGACGAATTCCGGCCTGAGCGTATGGAGCAAGACAAATTTGACAAACTACCGCCGTGCGCATGGAAACCGTTTGGAAACGGAATGCGCGCGTGTATTGGGAGACCGTTTGCCATGCAGCAGGCATTAATAGTAAGTAGTAAAGGTTTATTTCGGCCGTCTCACACTATGAAACTACCAAACTAACACCATTGGCTAAACGCAGGCTGTTGCCATGGTGCTCCAAAACTTCGATTTAATTAAAGATGAGACCTACAATCTTAAAATACAGGTAACAATGACGGTCCGTCCGGTCGGCCTTACAATGAAGGTCCGCCCTCGAAATGGCATACGCCCCACTGAGATGAACCTGCGAATGCACCAAGGTGCAGATACAGTCTCATCCACTGGATCTTTCAGACCAATACCAAGCAAGCCTACTACAGGTCCGAGGAACAATGAGGAAGTACATTTAGCGATTGTTCATGCCTCCAACTCCGGAACATCCGAGGCTTTAGCCAGCGTCCTTGCAAACGATGCTACTAAACGAGGTTTAGGTATAAAACTCATTGATACAGCCAATAACGTTGTAGGAAAGCTTCCTAAAGATGTGATTGTGGTTACCATCACAGCGTCTTACAACGGCGAGCCTGCGAGAGATGCTGTGAATTTTGTAAATTGGCTCAAAGCCGCACAAGAAGATGAGCTCGCAGGTGTGAGATATGCCGTTTTCGGATGTGGTACGTGTACTTTTGAATATTACTTTGCATTCTTTGACGTTTCAGTCGCTCTTCGTTTACTGCTATGATTAACCTTTCTTGGTCGTACCAACCAAGCAAATCATTCTCAAACCTCGACGCTTGTGTAGTAACCCTACTAAAAACCTCTTCTTAGGACATCGCGACTGGACCAGCAGTTTCTTTGCCGTCCCAAGGCTCGTCGATTCTCTCTTGTCAGAGCGCGGAGCTGAGCGAGTTGCACCAATGGGTACTTCTGACATGGGAGCATCTACCGACATATTCTCGGACTTTGAACAATGGACGATGACCCAGCTTTTCCCCAAGTTGAGCGATAACCGAATGCTTCAAGATGGTGATGCAAACTGCATGACTGACGCAAGGGATGTCGGACTCCAGGTATCACTGATAAAGCCTCCACTTGTCGGCATACGTGAAGGGTTTGCTGCTGCTATTGTAACCAACGCCCGCACACTATCCACTCCGGGTGTAGCGGAGAAACGCCATCTCGAGATTCGATTACCTGTAGGGTTCAAATACAAGTCTGGAGATCATGTGCAGATTCTACCCCGCAACTCTGTCGATGATACGCGAAGCGCTCTTGGCCTTTTCGATCTTGACACTGAAACCCTAGTCAATATTCGGAGCATAAAGAGAAATATGGGGTTGGGAATTCCACTTGACACTCCAATCAGAGCATCGGAATTGTTCAGTGCATACGTCGACCTTGGTCGTACAGCCAGTCTTAGGAACATACAGGTTCTTGCTACCCTGGTGACGACTGATAAGCCCCAAGTAAAGGCTAATCTGTTTGAGCTCCTTGAGCCTGAAAAGTACAAATCGGAAGTCTTGAACAAAAGACTATCAGTACTTGATCTGCTCCGCATATTCCCAGACGTTAAGATATCCCTCGCAAGCTTCTTGTCACTGTTGACACCGATTCGTCCAAGGGCCTATTCCTTTTCTTCCAGTCCCGACTGGAAACCAGGGTTTGCAACCTTGACATATACTGTTGTCGGCTCAGCGAAATCTTTGCCAACATCCCAACCTATGGAGCCTAATGATCCCTTTCAAGATTCGGACGGCGGTTTGACTGAAGATTGCATCCCCTTTAAACGCGGGGGGCTGGCATCGACTTATCTCTCAACACTCACGGCCAGCGATAGCCTTTATATTTCACTTCATCCAGCATCTCCCAATTTCTCCGAAGACCAACCCGTCTCTCGTCCAGTCATTATGGTGGCAGCCGGAACGGGCATAGCTCCTTTCCTGGCTTTCTTACAGGACCGTAAAATTACTGCTGCGACTGCTTCTAGGTCACTAGAACAAGCCGGAAAGCGTGAAAACTTCCCCAGAACAATCTTGTTCTATGGCTGTCGCGGCCCAGCGCTCGACTCCCTTTATGCCAAGGAGATTGCAGCATTCGAAGCAGATGGTCTCGTCGAGGTTCGCCGTGCATTCAGCAGGGACCATGAAGCAGCAGCAGCTGAAGCAGCGGGTTGCAAATATATTCATGAGCGGCTAGCAGACTCGAAAAACGATATTGTAGACATATGGAAGGCCGGTGGTCGTGTTCTTGTTTGTGGAGGTAAAAATATAGCCAACAGTGCCTACGACGTCCTCGGACCGCTGCTCTGGGAGACTGATAAACAGTATCAAAAGAGTGAAGCGAAAAGTTTACAGGAGTGGCGTGCTGCTCTAGATAAGGATAGATATGTAGAGGAGTTCTTCCTGTAACATTATGGTATGAACTATTGTTTCTGGAGTATTAGAAGATACTCTCTATCTAGAAGAACGTGGTTATTAAAAGTCATAGATCCAACCTTTCTTCTTCTGTGAATGAATTTTCAGTCAGTATGGTCCTGCTAGGGGACCTGTCGGAGTACCCCCGTCACAACTACCCAACGTGATTAAGCAATCTAACAACAATCATCGCTAGACAATAATGCCAGCAACAGGTTGAGACTACCAGTAGTCTCATTGGTGGCTTAGTATGGATATTCCAGTGCGCAAGATTCATAAATCTTCAACTTTTGCGCCATCACCCACCGCCTTGAGGCTGGCGGCTGTCCTAGGTTGATATAACTAGCAACTCGTGTTAATAATACAGGCGTCCGAGGCGTGACAGTGTTACATGGTCATCTTATGCTGGTTAAATGAGTTGATTTAAGATTCTCAGATGGTATAATATATACTAAACACTGCATAGCATCTTTAAACTGATTGTGGTATGTCTTTTGTGTAAAGAGATAGCTAAATCTCTCTTATAGTCGAATACTTAGCCTTTTGGGGAGCAGCTCTCTCTCAAGGTTTTTGATTTAATATTTTGCTGCGACATAGTTTGCTGTAGATAGCTGTATTGACGTTTTGGTGGGTTTTGTTTTAGTTGCTGTTTTTCGATTGTTTCTAATCATTGATGGGCGTTCGCGAATCAATCGGCCGATCAAATTGATTGTTCCCAAGTCTGAGTATAAGCACCAAACCCCGTGTAACACCAGCCTGGACTGAACTCATACAGTTATTCCTAACAAATGATAACAATACACTAGGATCTTCCTACGCTGAGGGCAAAGCTACACAGCACCATGGCCGCGGCTCCGAAATCAGGAGTTGTACTTAGGGATACTCGACTAAAGAAGCCAATTGCTATACCTATGTATGATATGTCTGTTTCAATACCGCTCTTGTAAGAATGCTCGTTGCTTCTAATGCCGGTGGTCGCTGCTATGTTTCTCTGTGCCTTTACAACGGAAGCTTTTTCAATTGTTCCTGCTACGAGAATACAAGTCGCTAAAGATGTAACGGAGCAAAGTGACCTATAATATAATATTTCACTAGTTATTAGTTGTTAATCTTGAGATGTGCGAAGGCCGAACACAAAGAGGCAAATACTAACCAGTTGTCACAAAGATCGGCCCAGGATATGTGTGCGCTCATGTTCAATATTTCGCGCGCTGATTTGCAACGTCTTTCTTTACTCATGTCTGTGTTTTCTGTTTCTGGTAATGAATGAATGGCAACGACGGCAAAATGATATTTGCTGATATATGTTAGCCTGTGGCGCCTCTCATCGCATGGAAGCGCCGATAAGTTGTCAAGTCTAAAATCGAAGAAAAAGTCATTTTTCCACGTCGTGAGTGTCGCCTCAAGCCGGCTTACGGCAGAGGCTGAGTTGTGTTCGCAATCTACTCCTCTAAAGCAGCACGAGTAGTTTTTCCTGCTTTGCCGTTGGGTGTGGAGTTGTTGTAGAATCGCTGAGCAAATCTCCGCGTAACGAATGTTTACATTGAGCCAGTCCCCTTTACAAGGAGAGCCCTGGGATGCAGAAATATTGTGGTCCGCATATTCACTGTGTATCAACTAAAGAGCTTTGAATTAGCGGCTGTTCCTAGGAGCAAATCATTCGTCTCAAAGATGATTCTATAAGATTCTTTGTCCTGTGATGCACTACTTACTGGTAACAATCCTTCTTGTAGGCAGTAAGGCTTTTCCATCGAGTAGATAGCCCAGAAGACTCTCTTGATTCTTGCTTGTTCCAAGCAGTCAGAAGACAACTTGTCGATCGCGCTACAGCTATGTAGGCGAAGGGTCTGGAGGCCCGAAGTAGCGTCAGCCATCAAGCTAGACGTGGAATTGGCACCGATGGTATACGAGAAGTAAGTCTGATATATATCGTTAATTATAAGGCCGAGCTTTATATTAACCCATAGAGGGAGGGCATTTACTAACCATGGAAAACAGCGCCTGTCAGCCCACAGGTTTTTGTTAGCAAAATTTCAAGAGCTGGCATTGACGTAGTGTTCTGTCTACCTGTAATGTCAAGAGACTAGTCTCATCATATGGATGAGGTCTCATGCGTAGAGCTATCCTGAAGAAGCCTATAGTTGCTCCTTTTATTGTGCCCGTACCATGACTGAGATCCAGACGCCGGGAGCCAATAGCCAGTACTGAGAAAAACAAAGCAATACAGGTCGGATTGCTGACTAAAGGGTAAAAAAGAACCTGGTCGACTAATGCATCCACGGTTGCCAAGTCTAGGAAGATTCCAATATTGCTAGTCTGTTTATTAGACGGCCAGGGTACTAATGATTTTCCAAAAAGAAAGCAAAAAAGCAAAAAGGATAACTTGTTTTGAACTACCACATACCTATCCAGTTCTGCAAAGCAAGCTTTATGCATCGATGTTAGCAAGTTATGCTGTTTTGTAGGGATTAGATAGTATGTTACCTTCGATGCGCTTGTGGAAAAGCTCTTTGCCAAAAGAACGCTCAGAACGTAGATCGGTAAGAACAGATATTATGTCCAATTCTTTGGAAGAACAGTTGTTGGTTGTTAGAGAGTTCGCTGCCAGAAGCCCTTGCAATGCTTCTATAATGCGAGTGTTTTCATTCTCATGAGACTTTTTCATGCTTTCTAGTACCCAACAGTAGAGAGACGAGCGAACATGGTCGAAATATGGTGTTTTCTCTATTACGATTTAGTCAAAGTTATAGATTCAGGGTGAATGTAACCTAGCACTTGTCCATACCGGTAATAGCAGCCGAGGCTGACACAATACAACCTCCTGAAAGATTGTTCGCACTGCAATAGTAGTGCGTATCATCATGAAGATGTGGATCTGTGTCTAAGCCCTCGCAGCGAGTATCCTCGTGCCCTTTGGTGCCCTCGTGCCCTTTGGTACTCCCCAACAGCTCAAAGCTCGGGGAAGGTGCAGAAATTGGTTCATCGACAGTGTCGCCCCATTGGTGCCAGTTAAAAAGAGCCATAGGATCTTCCGATACGGGTACATCGGCCAAATCATCCCAATAGAGATCAGGAATCGAAGTCTCCGAGAAATTTTCAGAAAAGAAATCTGTGCGTCCAAGACCTTGCGAACTAGATAAAGCACCTGCGTTTGGGGATGTCTTTGTCTGTCGCCTTGTATTGTCTGCCTTGCCATTCGGAATCATGTTTCGGGTCGAACGGTTACTTTCGGTATACTGGCAGTTTGTAGACGCTTTCTGAAATTCTTATTAGTATACTTGGCAAACATAACCGATTGTACTTATGGCTAAGTGATCTTACGAGACAATGTTGGCAAGGCATTGACCCGTTACCTGTACTGCTTAATTACTGCTAAAATCGTGTCCATGACTCATTAAGATACTTACATGCCACTTTTCTGTGTTTGCAATTCTCACATGCTCCTCGACGGCGCCTAAGCTTTCGTTTAGATCCAAGATCAGCACGAGCTGTTTGGTCAACAACAAAGGTAAACGTTTTGCTCATACTACAGGAAACAGTTAATCGTCTCTACTGCCTAACTAGAAAGGAAGATATAAAAAGCCTAGGTATAATGTATTCACAGCACATGCACCTAGTTTTTTATTGTTGACCCCCATGTGAGATAGTGTATGCGAATCTATGAAACAAGCTATCTAACCCGCACTGTTGCTCCGGGATAGACTTAGTGAACAACATGGCTAATGCCGCGGCGCTGAGTCGGGCCGTACTTGGCAGGACCGAACTACACTACTGTAGAGGTAAGCGGAGTGCGCACAAGGGGTCCTTGATGACACATTATGTGATTAGCATGTCCCGCGTTGATCGTTACCTTTTGTCGTGTACACCGGTTGGCTTCCAACCCTTCATACCTCTCTAGGGAGAGAATCCTTCCTGTTACTCGTCCCAGATAATGTCTGACTAGAAAAAACTCTAATGGAAACAAGAGACATGTGAGCTCGGATATGCTTCTTAATTTGATTGGTGCTATTACCCAGTAGTTACCGTATCCATGCACCGAAGAACTTCGGGCACCAGGTATTCCGCAACTTCCGTGGACGGCACAACCCCCGGGCCACCCTAAGTAAGCCATAGCTAGCCACCAAAGTCATCCAGTTTATAGAACAAGTGCAGATCCCTGGGCGTGTTAGGATCGAAGACGCGTAGACGACAGCCGAGCGCGGGGGGGGGAGACTGTAGGTATCGCGGCTGCACCCGCAGCGGCCGAACTGCCCCTCTATTTAACTGTATTTTGTATAGAACATTTGTCGCATAGGCCTTCAGAACACTCCACCAAAAAAACTTATAACAATAACCATAAAGTATGGCTCTACAGCCTCATTTCTGTAGTGGGCTTGAAGGGTCGGTGTGGACGTCCGGTAACTCTGGGCGTTCGGTACACGGACACGGTAGAGCATGCGATCCTCGCGATCTGATTCGTCGTTTTCAGAACACAGAATTTTTTATTATGCAGCGACGGACATGACCGAGATTCGTGCGCTGAACATGGAGTCTTGCCGCCCCTTGGTTGATACATACTGTGCTACATGGTACAAGTTATGTGTGTGTGGACGCTAAAATATAACAATCCGGCCGTATTTCGGAAGAATCTTTACCCAATTTGACAAGGCATGACGTTTCTTATTTTCAACCACGACTAACTATAGGTAACTTGTCTTTTTTCTACGCGATACAAGCCAAATATGGAGCCCTCAAAGACACCAACGCGTCGCCGGCAGCTAACTCGCGATGAGCGGCTTATGGTACATACACTACGCGGAGTCGGATATACACACCGCGCGATCGCAAGCCACTTCAAGTTCACTGAGCGGCAGGTCCAGCATACTCTTTCTGGACCTGTTACCCCAAAGAAGAGAACTGGGAGACCTTCAGCGCTCTCATAGAGGCAGCTAGAGGAGCTTATCCAATTCATCCGATCGTCCCGAGCTACCCGCCAGGTGAGTTAGAAGGCTCTGACTGAATACTTCTCCGATTGGAACGTTACCGAACGTAGTATCAGATACTCCCTCACCAACGCTGGATATACTCGAAGGATTGCTCTCGCTAAGCCACCTCTACCAGAAAATCGAGCTATCTGGCTGCGCTGGGCAGAAGAGCACATCTACTGGACCCGCGAGCAATGGAATAGCGTTCTATGGAGCGACAAGACGTGGGTTACTGGAGGGAGGCACCGGAAGGTCCACGTTACCAGACTACCCGGCGAGCAGCTTGACGATATTTGTTTGGTGGATAAAGTACGCCGAAAACGTGGCTGGATGTTCTGGGCTTGCTTTAATGGGAGTGAGGAAGGTCCAGCGCTATTCTGGGAAAAGGAGTGGAGGTCTATTATTATTATTATTCCATTATAGTCCTGTATCAGCCGTTGGCTATGTAGGACTTTGGCCAAAGGCCGTTCTATCTAACTAGTTACAATTTGGTACGTTATGCTGTATTGCGAAGAGTGGAGGTCTATCAACGCGGAGAAATACTGTGAGAGGATTATCCCTCCCGTGGATGGATGGATGCGGATAAGACCTGGTCTTGTTTTCATGTAGGATAACGCTCCTGCGCACTCCGTAAAAGCTACTAAGAATGAGACTATGTTATGATACGTGCCAACGATGGTATGACCTCCGTTCAGCCTAGACTTGAACTCTATTGAGACGGTCTGGAATAAGATGAAGGATTGGATTGCAAAATACCACAAAGATCTCCCAAATGGGCAGTAACGATCATGTGATTAGCTGCGCGTGATTGTAAAAGAGGCTTGGCAGCAGATTGATCTAGAATTACTTCAATCTTTAGTAGATGAGATGGGCGATAGGTGCCAAGCTGTGATAGACGCTGAGGGTGGCCATACTCGATATTAACTAGCGTATTATTATCGTCTGAAAATGGATTAGCTTAAAACAGTCCCTTGCTAGTGGTCCACATACATGAATTCTACCATGTAGCACAGTAGTGTACGGGTTTGCGCAGCTACTTTAGTAATAAGGAAATCACAGCGGTCACGGTAATCGCACACCCGTCCCTGCGTAGTAGAACGACTGGTTAGCTCGCAAGGGTTCTGGAGAAGTTCACGATCCCCGCGATCCGGAGTTTTTTTTTATTATTATTCCATTATAGTCTATGCAACTGGTAGCTACGTAAGACTTTGGCCGGGAGTTTGTGGTGTATAGCGTGGCTATTGTGCTTCGGCCTTTATCTAGTTAAGCTATTACTAGCCTTCTAGATGCCTTGTACTGAAGAGCAGTTGAGTAACTGGGTTTGTTATTTTTTGGATAGTAGGGGTTCTCAGTATGCAAGGATATTCCTCAATATACACCCCTAAACGATGACAAGTTTACATAACTAACGGGTAAATTCAGTTGCAGTGCGTTAGTTACAGGACGTCTCTCCGTTGGCCTTTTCCAAGTACTGCAGCATCCTATGGCAGATGATATTACAGGCTCTTCGCAACAAGGCAACACGCGAGACAAATTCAGCAAATGATGCCCAACTAAATACCTTACCCGATGGTGCGGCTACTCTATCACATCGTCAAACAGCCCCTTGCCTACAAGAAGCGCACCTCTGCTTACCAGAACATGGACTCCACTATCTTCTCCGTCACCTGCTAGCCCCCTTACTAGCATAACGATTATCGTCGTTGCTTAGCATAATCCCCGTGTCTATCTTTGCCGTGGGATCCTTGACCAGGACGCGCTCTAATCTAACACTCTGTCGGACTGTACTCGGGCCGGTCCGGTGAATATAGATGGCTTACCCCCGGAAACTATATTACGTGGCCTGTCGTACGACGAGCATCAGCATAAGCATATTATTATTAGCATAGTAGCGGCGCTAACTTCGGCTTGCGAGCATGGCGAGTTCTTTGACCAACACCCAAGTTTATACTCGGGCCCGAGCCGGAGTTCGCTGTGGGTGCTTATCGTCTTGATGGAGAAAGCGGATACCCGCTTGCAGAAGCTCGTTAGTATCTCTCGATTGGGAAATGATAGCCGAGGCCCCACCCGACGCACGAACCATGTCTACATTCGTCGTCGCAACCTGAGCCAGACATTCGGTTGTCTTACACGACGTCTTGCATGAACACTACGTATCTATGCACAAGGAAGTGGGCGCCTAGCATTGTAGGGGCACTCACTTTTACCTTGAGCAGCTCGGGTGTATGTTGAATATGGGGGTTTACTGTAAACATGCTGTCGTATAATCTCACTTCTATTCGCATCCCTTGAACACGCAATCATGGGCAATACGGATACTCGGCCGCCACTTCGGCCAGTAGCTGATCTCAAGGCAGAGAATGCTGCGCTCTCTGTTCAAGTGCTCGAAAGAGGGGCACAAGGGAAAGACAACGTCTCCGAAGCTATCGGGCGTGATGGGGATGTACCTGCGAAAATGAATTACGCTCTCCAGGCTAGCATAGAAAACTACTTCATACGTACATTAGATCGGCCATGACTCAATGCTGACGAAGGTTGTTTAGCAAGCAAATACCTCATCAGTCTCAACTCTCTACCGTTTTTGCCGAGTATTTGCGCTATCATCGTACAATCTACTCAAGAAAGGCAAATGTTCATAGAGGTGCCTTTAGAGCGGCAATGAATGGCCAGCCGTCTCCATACAACAACAAGAAACGATCAATAGACGATGTAAATAAGCCAACAAAGCCCTGCCTTTGTGGCGACAGTCACTTCCAGGGTCAATGCCCGTACATCGATACAGCACTCCAGCAACGAGGATTCGTCGGAGACCCTGAAAAAGCCAAGAAGATAGCTGATTTCGAGGCTAGGGATAGTCGTGGAGTATTAAGTAAGATTCGGGAAAAGAATCGACGCTTTAAGAAGCATAGGACCAGGGACGGCAGCAAGCATGGTAAAGCGTCAGACTCCGATTCGATAGAAATTGACGCAGGAGACCCACTAGCTGATCATTCCCCGCACGAAGCATATGCCATCTTCTCTTCCGCGTTCAACAACCAGAGAGCGTCTCAACAACATCCACTCATCCACTCATGGACATTGGATCCAGCCACCGATATTCATATCTGCAATAACCCTGCAGAGTTTAACTGGAAAACTCCGGCAGCGGACAACGATGTTGTTCTCGCAGGAGGAACTGAGCCGAAAATCGAGGCATAGGATGAAGTCAAGCTACCTCTATCAACACCAAATGGCATCAAGACAACGACGCTTAAGTGCGTAGCTCTAATCCAATCCTTCTTCACGAGCTTAGTATCACTATCCCGTCTCTCCTCATCAAATATCCATTTTGACTCGGGAAGAAACGTTCTATAGAGAGCTATCGACGATGCTCGCGAAGATGTTGCAAGCCTTACCCGGTTAGGAGGTCATTGGCTAGCATACTTGGGAGTAAGCAAGCGTGCTTGCTTGCTTGCTTGTTACGCTTAATTGCTTAGTTATCCAAGCAAGCCAAGCGCCTCTCTTTAAGTTTGCAAGCAAGCAAGCAGCCTTCTCTATGCTTGCTTGGTTGCTTAAATCGCGCTTGGTTGT